TAATATTACAAAAAAATACTAGTTAAAAATTCTATCTAATAAATAATATGTATTGTTTCTGATAAATCGATAAGGGGTTCAAATGTTATCACTATCACTAAATTCCACCACAACATAAATAGAATATTCAATTTTCAGTGCGATTGATAACAAAATTTTTGTCGTATTTAATTGTGAAAGTAACAATCTCGAAATTAAAAATTCTTCTTCTGCTTTAAAAGAATAATGAAATAGAAATTACATAACATAGCTATTGCACAAATCATATTTAAGCATGCAATATTGTAAATTTATAAAACTTCTAAAAATTAAATAATGATCAAGCACATCATTATAATAATATAAAGCGCAATTGATAGTAATAAGTGTGCCTTAAAGTTTGAAGTGGTTATTTTTAGAAAAAAATCTGACGGAGTTCGAGTAAAAAGCTCGAAAAGTATAGGAATATAGAAGTGTTAAAAAAGCAAGAAAGATTTTGTAAAATGAAATGAAGAAATAAATGAGATCACAGAAAATATAAATTCTGGAAAGTAGGAAAAATATTGAAATAACTAAGTTATTTCGATTAAGAAGGATAAGTTATTTCGATTAGAAAATAGTTAAAAATTAAAGAGCAATTGAAATCTAAAGATTTATTATGCTTTAGACTCCATTACGAAATATTATTTAAATTGAATTTCGACGGCCTAAACAAAATTTCGAAACATAAATGGATAGAGAGCAATTTGAATTTAAAATTTTAATCTTGAAGTTTGCAAAGAGAAATACATTGTTTTGCAATGACTAATATTGCTTATAATTTATTAAAAATCAACGATCATTGAGTTAAACGAAAAGTGAAAGGTTATATATATTATTAAAAACATTTGTATTACTGGTTGAAACATTTTGATAGAAATTCAAAATTAACTTTACTTTAGTCATGATTCAGTGCTAAAATCTTTTGATCGTTAAAATGGGAAAATCAATAAAAGTAATGCTGTGAAAAAAATTGTATGGACCATATTAAATGCTGAAAAAAAATTTATTAGATTTAAATATTTAGATTTTTAAAAAGACAAATGTCATTTTTAATTTTGAATCTTTTACGATCAAATTACTTTCAAACAATTCTATAATTTCATCAACTTTATCCATCAGCTAATATTTTGAAAAATTTAAAATAAATTTAAATGCAACATAATGTGAAGTAATAGTTAATCAAATCGAATATTTAGTGTGAATGAAAAAGCGAAAGCAAATAGATAAAGAAATTAAGGAATAGCTCGAACTCAGACAGATTAGAATGAGAAAATGAGAATTCCATCCGAAATAGATAGATATAATTAATAATGGAAAAACTGATAGATATAAAATAATACATTGGATAACAGGAACATAATGTGTACAAATGATTATTCAATTATATAAATATATTTTATATAAAACATTGCGCTTTTTGTGTTCTTAGAGCGTATCTCAAAATAAAATATGAGCGGAAAATACAACAACCTGTGATGGAAATTAACTTCAAAATTTACAACATTAATTTTTCACGCCAAATCATTTATTTGATTGAACAAATAACAATTTATATAAAAGATGTAAAGAAATTTAAACAGGTTCAAAGTATAAAACCATTAGTTGATACTAATTTTAGCTTTTACTAACTTCGAATAGAGATACCTAAATTGAAATGATTTCTCATAGAAAATTTTACTTTTCATTTTCACTTCTTCAAATTCATGGCAGCAAATTTTTATTTTGGTCTTTTTTTTTTCATTTTAAAAATCTCGAAATGAATAAAATTTTTTGTCTATTTTGAAAATAAAATTAGAACTTTATAATTTCGAACTTTTACTGGCATACATGATAAAAGCAATGAGAAGCGAAGAAGCAATAGTTAATATAGCACCAAACAAGATGATAAGTAAAATGTCATGTGATGCAATGCAAAGAGTACCATTGAATCGATGATGTATTGGTATAATTGATTGATTTGTTACCGCTAGTAATCGATCATAATGTAATAAATTTGAATCCTAAAATATGGATCATATGTAAGTTTATCATAAATACATTGAAGTTTTTTCAAATTTCATGCTAATAAATTATTTTAAATCAGGTTGAAACAAACCTTTTCACTTATATCAATCGCGCTAAAACCAACACTAACATCCACCGTATTGTCATAATTAACCGATCTTTTCCTGAGCAATCGTATATTTTGTGGAGAAAGCGGAGAAGCTTCTGGTGATGGTGCAGCAGCTGATTTTACTGCACCAAATCCTTGTGGTTCTGAGCATTGTGGTCGTGGACAGTTATTATTTGGCTCTTTAATTGTTATGCTAATCTGACATTGATAGTAAAGCTCTGATCGATCAGCATATTTATAAACATGAGCTTCTTGACCGGCCATTAAATCTACAAAAATTATCAAATTTTCAATATTAAAATTTTGTTCATTGAATTATTTTAAAATGATTATAATATTTAATCCAATTATATTTTTTCATTATTATTTACCTGTGGGATATTCTAAATTATTGAGTAAATATTTATCCAATGCACAACCATCTTGATCCAAAATTTGTACCGTATCACCTTTTCCATCATCAACAGTACAGGAATGCACTAATGCACAGAATGTATCGGTAGTTTCCGAATCACAAGTCCATTTATGATATACATGATCACCGATCATTGCATATCGGACAGGTGCACCAGATGGTCCATCTTCCAGAATCTTTAAAATATAATTTTAATTTTTAGCAATTTAAATAATTTCCTTTTTTTTTTTGGAAATTAAAAATTATCCCTTTAATATTATCTTCAAGAAATGTATTCTGTTAAATTTTCAAACCTCATATCGACATACAGGCATTGGTACCACCTGTGTCTGGAATGCTGTAGTCATTTCGGATACTTCAATTTGTGTGCTAACAGTCTTATCAGCTTCCATATAAAAACATTGTATACGATATGCTCGATCTATTTTGGTAATGAATTTTGGATGAAATGTTATAACAATTACAGTTGTTACAAAAACACCTCGAGGATTTAACGATCGTGATCGTTCAACATTACACGAATCAATCGGTAATTCAATTCCAGCTACCTAAAAATACAATTTCATACAATGGCAATTTTGATACCTTTATATCAATACTGATAGATTGAAATAACACCAATCATTCAGTTATATTCTGTTCTTACCACCAATCTCTTATGTCTATTCAATGAAATGCAATTAAAATGAAGGTTTAATTTCTAAATTCAAATTTCCAGAAATTTTTATTTGATGAAATAAAAGGGATATATCAATTAAATAAAATGAAATATATCATTATTGATAACAACTTTTCTTATCACGGAAGTGGAAAAAAATAAAAGATTTTCAACTATCATTCATTAAATTAATTACAATTTTTAGTCAGAAAAATACGATCTGTTACTTTTATTATTGTTTTATACAGTTAAACGAATGTAAAAGAAAGATTTGTGGCTTTTTCCTTAAGTAAGAAAAATAATTGTGATGATAATGGTGACAGTAATCATAATAGTGATAAGGGCAATCTTAAGTGATTATATTCGAAGGTGACAATAATGATAAGCTTAATAGTTTTGATGGTCATTGCAATGATAACATAATGATACTGTGCATCTCTTTATCATCACTATCGTCTTGAATATAATCATTTAAGATTGATTTCACCGTTATCATGATTACTGATATCATTATCATTATAATTACTTTTCGTCTATTCTATTGCTTTAAAACTTAGCAAACCCAAACAAATAATTCCATGCCATATTATGGATATACATTGAAGAAAAAAATTCCGAGCCAAATTGAATTCATTTAAATCTTTCTAAATAGCCAAGCAAATAAGTTAAATTTGATCAAAATTTTCATACAATTCCTTCTCTTCCTCATAAACCTTATTATCATTAATGGATCTGAATTAAAATTTCCTCGAATTTGTCCATTTTATTAAGCATAGCATTTCAATCTCTAAAAGTCATAAAAAGATTTTTAAAAAAAACGATTTAATCAGGGCAAAATTGCTTAATTAACGAATTTTGCTAAAATCGAATTTTTTCTGAAATCATATATTTTCTTAGCTGACAAAAATTTTTTCTTATCAAAATTTAAAAAATAAAAAAAAGCAAATATGCCAAACCTGTCGTCCGCTACTATCTGAACGACATTCTTCATGATCATAAAGACCTTTTACGTATACATGACCTTCAAATTTATTTCTTGTATTAAAATTAATTGTCAAAATAGCAGAGCCACATTCTATTTCAGGCTCACCTTCAACACCATTATCAATCGGTATAGCTGTTATGTAATTCAATTGAAAAATTAGTATGAATAGAAGAGAGAATAATAATAATGGCATATGAATAATTATTACTAATGTCATTATTAGTAATAACAGTGATAATATTAGCAGTAGTAATTATTAATATCAGTAATAGACGAATTAAACAGTAATAATAATAATAATAATAATAACGATATATCGTTATTTTGTTATATATACTAAGAGTAGTTTAATATTTTCAAATGCATATACAGGTGATCTTAAAAAAAAATGCTATACTATCTTTCGTATTTCATAAAAGTAATAACAATAATAAAAATAATAATAATGATAACAGTGATAACAGTATATGTAGGAGTTTTTGTATAAGCGTATTATCAGACTAAACGGACAAGAAATGATGATTACGCGCGGTTTATTTCTTTTTATATAAGCATTTTGGGCGTACGCTATACACATACACACACACACACACACACACACACACA